TCCTTTCCCAGCTGCAGATGAGAAGTTGGTATGCATACCACCGTAGGAGTGGGAGAAAATGGGAAGCACACGGTCTCCCAGCAGCAAGGGTTAGCACACTTACACAGTCCAGACAGATTTCCAGACGATAATGGATGCAATACTGGGGTTTTGAACAAGTTCCACTTGCTCTGCAGTTGTAAGGCAAGCTTGCATCATGAGACTGTAGACTGTGCTTCCATCACCGCCCCCACCAAGTGGTTAGTTGTGAGAGTGGGAATAAGCTGCTGAGAATTCACCAGCTAAACCTCTTCCAAACTTAGCAGAGAAGGTTCAGTTCGTCTCCCAGCATCACCCCTCAAGATCTGCCCCGGATTACCCTTGATTACTCTTCTATCCTATTTTCCAGGCTCCTAACCCCTTCACAGTTGGAACAACAGCCTTCCCTAAGGCATATTCACACCTAGATTCCCCATAATACTTCATATTAAAAGGCTCCAGGCTCTCTCTGTCACGCTTACAAGCCTCTTACCTTCCCACCTCCAAAAGTGCGGTCGTAGCGCCCAATGATGGCATTGGCCACGTTGAGGACAACGTTGTCTGGATCAGCCCATCCTGGCCCCTCCACAGCAAGAGCAATATGGGCAAGGGGCAGAGCATCATCTCTGGCACGGATCTAGAAAATCAAAGGAGTGGAGGAGAACAGCATGAGCACTGTGACTTGCCCGCAGCCTGCTGCAAGGCCAAGATGACAAAGCAGGGTACTTGCTGTGATTCCAGTGAAATGAAAGAGTCTCAGGCACTACTGAGCACAAACTGCTCTGATGTGAGTTTTCCAGCAGATGATGTGATCAACAGCCTCACATTCCTAACAGATGTGGGTCCCATCTAAAACCCAACACGTGGCAATAAGCCCCAAGAGAGCTCCAATGGGAGCACTACCAAGATGCCGCATCATCAGCTTCTCCGAGATACACAGATTTTTCCTCTCAGCAGCAGCTGTAATTGGTTTCACATTCATTCAACAGTTGGGCAACACCTGCTTGTTTTGATGGGGACCAAAACAACTTTACCTCACTCCCTGTGAAGCGACAATGGGGGAGGATAGGCACAGCATCCTCTTTGTATTTGACAGGCACTCCACTGAAGTGTTGCTTAGCTGCATCTACTAGCTCCTTGTGCGAAATACCTGGCAACAGCAAAGAGAGACTTGCAGTCCCAGAATACTCTAACAAAATGATCTGATTTTACATTAGAGATGTGTGACAGGGGTTTGATCATCAGCTTGAAAATACTCAGGCTTCCCAGAATCACAAGGATCTAGAACTTACCTCCAGCAGCTGCCAGGACCATGCGGGGGGCCTTGAAGTGAGTATCAACATATGAAGCCAGATCTGCTCGAGTCAGCCGTCTAGAGAGAACACAGAGACCTGGCATATCAGCATCTCTGATCTGGAGGAATGAGAGGCTTAGGACAAGCAAGTTCACAGTGCAGAGACAGCAGTGATTCTCTTTGTTGTGGGGTAACAATACTTTTTAGAAACAAGACCGTGCGCTGTGTTTTCCCCGTGCTCTAATTCTAGAACACAAAGAATGGGAACCAGCAGCTAAATGAAGAGTTAAGGATAAAACTCAATGCAGATTGGAGAGTACTGAGCCCGGTCACTGACCTAATGCAAGACCACTGCTTCAATGACCACCCTAGCTCTTGATTTCTCTAACAATTGACAAGCATGGGAGAAGGTTCAACCCGTCCCTTCCAACCTCAAGTCTTGCACTAGGGGGTTCCAAGGAATGTGTGCAGCGTTATGCTTTCACCAGCTCCAACAAGGAAAACACAGGGAACAAGGAGAGCCCCATGGGCACAGATCACCTCCATGCACACACTGGTTTCCTCGTGCAGTCACCACAACCAACCAGCAGCAGTCATGCACCCCACAGACTGAACCCCTGGGTTGTGCCCTGCATCCAGCCTGTTGCTCACTTGATGTTCTCTGTGGTCCCCTCAACAGTGTGGGCCAGTGGAGTGCCCTGGAAAGCAGTGGCATGAAGGTAATCAAAAGTGACATCCATTAGGTTGCTGTCCATTTCTTTCAGCTCCTGAAGGATGACGCCACGTTCCTTCTCGATCTGAGAGTCCTCCAGCGCGCAGTTCTGCACAACGTCAGCCAGGAGTTCTACAACTGCAACACAATTCCCATGTTAGCATCCCACTGCCTGACTGCCACCCACTGCTGCTGAAAGGAGAAGAGACACACAGGGGGAGTGAGCAACAAACCACGCTGGGGAGGGGATGGAACATAAAAGAGCTGAGTGCTGCCCGTTCCCACAGCACAAACAACACCGGTTTAGCAAGAGTCTCCAAGTCAGCTCATCACTGCCAGTGGGAAGCAGGCAACATCTGCAGAAGGTAAAGCATGTTAGAAGCAGGGTACTGCTCCAGAAACACACTGAATTCTTACAGAGAGTTTGTGATACCTACAGCATACCCCATATCTACAGCAAGGCCTACAGCCCTGACTCAAATCACTGCCTCTGGCCAAAACCAATCTAGAGGATTCTGCACATGGCAGCAGAGCACAAGCAGCACCCACAAGAGCTGCAATGAGGACTCCTCACACAGCAGCTGTTCCTGACCTCAGTTTCCCAGCTCCATAAAACAACCAGGCTCCTGAATCCCCCCATCCTCCCTCCTGGCAATACAGTCCAGCCTGACACAACTAAAGTTCTTTGTTTAGGAACACATGAACTTGCAGCGCTGAAACATCACGTCACTGCACTTCTCTCTTTAACTACCAACCAGAACCTCTAATTTACTGTTCAGCTACAACTTCAATCCCTGGTTGACAGAAAGGATGCCTGAGGGAGAGAAACAAAAGCACATGCGCTTGCTGAAGCTCCCAATCAGACTATGCCCCCTAGCCATCCTACCTTTGGGCATGTCCTTGGACAAGGCTTTTATGTAGAAGGCAGTTTGCTCACGGGATGTGTACCCATTCAGGTGAGCACCCAGACTCTCCACTTCCTTCTCAAAGGCAGAGCCAGGACGATTCTTTGTGCCCTAAAAGGAAACAGATAAACTCAATCACAAAATGAACAATTTTCCCCCCACCAGGAAGAATTAAAGCATGGAAAATAACAACATTCAGTATTCAGAGCAGCTCTGTCCAGAGCCAGCACACCTCCTTACCTTAAAGGCCAGGTGTTCCACAAAGAAACCAGCCCCGTTGTTCTTGGCGTTTTCATAGCGGCTCCCGGCCCCGATCCACACTCCCACCTGGTAGCAGAAACAGGGAGTGACAACATCACAGAGGAAAGCAATCAGCATCCTCGTGCCACAAACAAAACAGCAGGGACAAGAAGCCTGCTACCCACACATGACACCAGTAGCATCAAAGTAAGAACAAACACCAGCCACTGTTTCCCGCACACGTTTTGGCTTTTTATCTGTCAGCTTCACCAAAGCTGCTTTTGCCAGAGAGAGAGCTCCTATTGATCACTTACTGCTCACGCAAAATTGTAAGGCTAAGAAAACCTGTAGAGCATGAAAGCTTGACTACAGACTTAAGACAACACCAGGCTGGGCCTTCTGCTGTTAGTTAATTAATTAATTAATTGATTCCACCAGTTCACAGAGAGAAGCAGCGGGGACTGTCAATAGCTTTGGTTCAGACAGGGTCTGTCACTTTTTGGAGACCAGATACAGGCTTCAAGCAAGCCCTCAACCTATCTTAAAACTTACGGTGCAGGTTGGCTGCTTGGACTCCTCCGAGGCCACACGGAGCCCGTTCTCCAGGGTGGTGACCTCGGTCTCAGGGATATTTTGGAGTGTCTGGGCATAGGTGGCAGCACCTCGCTTCCTTGTCAAAGTCAATACAGCTGCCTGAAAAGACAAAGGCTGTCACGACCACCAGCCAGCAGCTCCCATCGGCGGGGCCGAGGACCTGCCGCAGTGCCAGGGGTTTGGAGCAGGAGGAAAACCCCATGGACGAGCCGCGCGGTCCAGTCACACCGGCACCGGGGCAGGGAGCGGGCGGCGGGCCCCCGGCAAGCCCCGCACCGGCTGACAGCGACAGCCGCCACCGCCCCCCGCCCGCCCAGCCCCGCTCCCGCCCCGGGGGTCTCACGGACACCGCCGCCCGCCCCGCGCCGCCCGCCGCGTCCCCGTGACCTTCCCGGCCGCTGCGCTGGCTGGGCCCGGCGGCAGCACCACCGCACCGCGGGGCCGCCCGCGCCCCGCCCGAACTCCCCCCGCCGGCGCTGCCCGCGGAGGGCGCGGTGACTCACGGAGGGACGCGGCCCCCACAGCAGCGCCCGCCCGGCCGCGCTGCCCGCCCGGCACACAGAGCGCGCCGCCATCTTCTCCCTGCCCCGACCCAGCGAGCTGCGCCTGCGCGGAGGGCGGGGCGGGAGTCTGGGGCGGCACGGGCGAGCGGCTGGGGGCGCCCCCTGGTGGCGGGAGGGCATGGGCGTCCCAGGGATGGGGGTCTCAGGGGAATGGGGGTCTCAGGGGAATGGGGGTCTCAGGGGAATGGGGGTCCCGGAGGATGGGGGACTCTGGGGAATGGGGGTCCCGGGGAATGGATGTCTCGGACCCTGTCCATGGGGGTGTCAAGGGAATGAGGGTCTCAGAGGAATGGGGCTCCCTGGGGATGAGTGTCCTAGGGAATGGGGGTCTCAGTGAGACAGGGATCCCGGGGATGGGGATCCTGGGGAATGGGAGCCTCAGGGGAAGGGGGGGTTCCAAGGGATGGGGATCCCAGGGATGGGAATCCTGGAGGACGGTGGTCCAGAGGACAGGGGTCACAGGGAATGGAGGTCCAGGGAATGAGGATCCTGGGGAAAGGGGGTACCAGCTTGTTCCAATCCCTTGGCTGCAGGCCCACGAGCCTGACGGAGTTGCAGGGAGAAGGGGCAGAACAGAGACACGGGGTGTCAGGGCAGCCCACCTGCTGGGGGCCAGTTGGAGAGCCCATCCCAAGAGCACTGTTATTGAGGAAAGGGCATTGAAACCAACCCTAAGAAACACCACGATGCTTTATTGGCGATGCCAGCCCACTGCTGGGAGTGGGACCCCCTTGACCCCTCCACTGCCCCCCAAACCACATCATGGCCCAGTGGGACAGGCCCGTGCTGGGGCAGAGCAGGAGCACCAAGTGGGGTCACCAAGTGGGGGCACCAGGCGGCCCCTCGGTGTGAGGGCCAGCAGCAGCTCCGTCCAGCAGCAGCCCCATCACAGGGGGTCACAGACAGGGCAGGACCCTGGTGGTCAGAGTCCAGAAGGGCTGGTGGGGGTACAGGGCCTTCGGGCCCCGGGGTGGGTGAGTTGGTGCCATCAGGATGGCAGAATCCTTCTTGCCCGCCCGGCTCCTCGGGGAGACGTCTTCCTCTTGCAGGACTACATCCTGGTGCTGCGGTCCGCCTAAGGGGGACAGACAGGGAGAGGTTGGCTTGGCTGCCCCCTCCATTCCCCCCAGCCTGTGATGGGGGTGGTAGGGCCAGGTGCTCACCGAGGCCTGGTGCCGCTTCCTGCTGATGTGCTCCACGGCATCGTGCACAGAGGGGAAGAAGGAGTGCTTGGTGATGGTTGAACTGAAGAAGTTGCCACGTTCCATCTGGGCCAGCACGGACCCTGTGTGGAGCAAGAAGCATCTAAAGTGATGGCACCTAGCTAAGCCCCCCACCCCCCGCCCGGAGCAGCCTCCCGCCTCCTGTGTTGCGGGGGGACACCAGGATCAGCACCAGGGACCCAGGCTCAGATTGGATCCATGGGACAACCTGCAGCACCCATCCCCTGGGGAAGCCCTGGGGATGGGAGCACCATGGAGGGATCCCCAGGCCAGCAGCTGTGTGCAGGAAGGGTGGCCATGCCCATCAGGGGCTCATGGCTCTGCAGATCCCCCTCACCCGGGCAGCTGGCAATGAAGACGTCCACTTCTATTTCACGGAAATCCCTGAAGATCTGCAAATGGCAGAAAATATTTTACACAGGAGGAGGGAGGGACAGCATCCATGGGGCCACCCCACAGGGCCTTGGAGACACTCTCAGTGAGGCTGCTGTCCTGCCTGCTGCCCTGGGCCCTTACATTCTTCAGGATCTTGATGGAGACGGTATCCACGAAGCTGACAGAGCTGAAGTCCAAGATGATAGCATGGAAGCTGGGCTGGGGCAGCCCCAGGCTGCGCAGGGTGGGCTCTGAGGGCACACTGTTCTCCCCTGCATTCAATTCAATCACTGCCACGCCTGGACCGTCCTCTGCGTTCTAGGGGAGGGAAGGAGACAGGGTGTCACTGCTTTGGGGCTGGAGCCCCCTGGGCTCACCCTGCCCTACAGGGTGGTGTGGCTTGGTGAGGCTCTTTGGCTGCATGAGGGCATGGTGCATGGTCCCAGGAGTGGGTGCCCCTCTCACACCTTGACCTACTTTTGGGCTCTTTCCAGATACGTCAAGACCCACCCCTCTCCCCCGTGCTGCTCTCTCGAACCAGGCTCATTAGCTGGCACCAGGCCTGCCTTTGCTCTTGCTCTTAATTCTGATTAACTTGCCAAAAGGTTAATGACTCTCCGGCTCCACCACATAATCATTAACAGCTCGGCTTTCCCCACCGACCTTGGGTGTGGCGGTGTGGCCCAGTTCAGTCTCAGTGCCTTTCTCACCCCTTGGCCCCAAACTGAGCTGGGAACCCTTTGGGCCACTGAGCCAGGCCAGCACACGGACAGAAGGGCCAGAGCCAGGCAAAGAGGCAATGCAGGGTGGCACCGGAGCAGTCCCCTGTGTTAGGGAAGCACCTTTTTCTTCTTTGCCTTTTCCTTCTCTGCTTTCTTCTGTTGTTTCTTCAGCTTCTTGAGGGCCTTCTTTTTCTTCTCAATCAGGCGGTCCACATTGATGCCACTCTGTGAAGCAGTGCAGCTTTGTGTCCCCAGCTGCCCCATTGCTATCCTGGTGCTGGCAGGCAGGGGGACACGGGGAGCACTGTGGGGCTGGTGACTCTCCTACCTTCTTCTTCAGGGCATCAGCGTACAGCTCCACGTTGGCAAAGTAGAGGGTGCAGGAGGAGCGGAAGATCTTCACGCCAGGGATCTCCTGTGCCTGGGGGCGGATGGGGAGGGTACTACCCCTGGGGATGAAGCCACCTGCTCTCCTTCCCTCCCTTCCCCAAAATGCCACCAGCTCCTTTCTTCAGTGAACAGCCACTGGGGCTGTATTGGAACACCCCCCCATTGCAGGTGGCTCTTTCCCCAACCCAGTGCTGTTACCATCTCGTATTCCGCCACATCCCTGTAGACATCGGTGTTGGAGATGCGCCCCAGGATGGAGTAGTGGGGGCTGCGGGGAACACAGCGAGGGGTTGAGGTCACCATGGGCTTCTGCCCTCAGGGTGCGGCACCAGCCCCAACCCCAGGGTACTCACAGCTGGGTGCGGAAGATGACTGTGAGCAGCCCAAAGGCCACCGAGGCTGCCAGGCCAATGTCCAAGTTCAGCAGGAGGGTGGCCACAAATGTCACAATCCAGACCATCTGGAGAGGGGACATGGTCAGCTGCAGCACGGCCTCCCCAGGGCACCCTCAAGCCTCAGGGAGGGTGGAGAAACCCTCTTCAGGGACAAAAGCACAGCCTCGGGGCTGATCAGCACCTTACCAGGTCCACCCGGTTGGACTTCCAGAGCGTGCTGAGGTCACTGAACTGCTTAAACATGCCCTTGAGGTTGACGATGATGATGGCAGACAAGATGGCCTAAAAGAGAGGTCTCTGCAGCTATGAGGAAGCTGAAGGCAGGTCTGGGAATGCCTGTTGGCTGTTACCCTGCCACACTGCCATGCCATGGGATGGGCACAGGGGTGGGATGTGGCAAAGAGGCTGTGGGACTAGATGTACCTTGGGCAGGTCGTAGAAGAGCTCTCCAATCTTCAGGATGGTCACCAGGATGACCAGGGATGCAATGACACCAGCTACCTGTGTGGAAGGAGTGTGGGAGGTGAGGGGCAAGCCCCCACTGCTCGCTGTGCTGCCTGCCCCTGCTCCAGCCCCACGGAGGGAGGCAGCGCTGCCTGGACCTACCTGACTGTTGCCACCCGTGGTCTCCTGTACCAGGCTCCGTGACATGGAACAGCTGATGGCAAAACACTGGAAGAAGCCTCCCAGGAAGTTGCAGAGGCCCAGCGCGATCAGCTCCTGCAGGAACAGAGCAGCAGCAGGGCAGCACCATTCTTTCCTCTGACTGCAAGGGCAAGCTTGGCTTTCACCCAGGGAAGGGGCCCTGCACCTCAGAGCATCACCTGGTTGCTGTCCACTTTGTAGCCATGCTTCAGGGCAAAGATCTTGCCCAGGGAGATGCAGATGGCATAGCCAACCACGGCAATGGCAAAGGCATTGCCTACCACCTGCCCAAAGTAGCTGAAATTAGGGACCACAGGTGGCTTCAACCTACATTCAAGACAGAGAGATGTGGCTCAGAAAGGGGTGCTGTGGGGGCACAGTGTCCCTGCCCAGCCCCTGCCACCACCTGGCCCTGCTCACCCGCTGGGGATGGTGCCCACCACGGAGATGCCAAACTTGTCATTCAGGTTGACGCCGTAGGAGATGCCGGTGGAGACAATGATCTGGGGGGGAATGAGTGGAGTGAGGCAGGGCCTTCCTGCACAGGGACCGTGGAGGAGGGCATGACATGTGCCCTGGAGCTGCACTCGCCAAGGAACCCCATCCCACGCCTCCCCTCCCTGGAAGGGACAGGGACACGCATGTCTGCATCCCCACAGCAAGCTGGGGCAGTTCTGTGTACCGTGATAAGCTCGATGGGGATGGGCATGGGCAGCTTGGCGGCAAACTTGTGGTTGAGCTGTTTCACAATGAAGATGGCCACCATGGCAATGATGGCGGTCACCAGGGTGCCCACATTGGTGTCTGGCAGCTTCTTGCAGATCTCAATGAAAGTCTAGAGGATACAGAAGGAGGGAACGTGCTCAGGAAATCAGATGCCTCTCCCAGAAGTTTTATGGAGGCCTCACCCCACAGGTGAGCCCCCAGGGTGTCCTGGGCAGCAGCGAGCCCCCACTCACCACAAACAATGAAAGTGGCCCCGAGTGCTCGCCTATGGAGATCCCGAAGACATTCTTGAGCTGGGAGATGAGGACGTGCACGGAGGCAGCAGTGGTGTAGCCACGCACCAAAGGGTCCGAGAGGTAGGTCACCACAAATCCAAACTGCAGGAGACCCAGGGCCACCTGAAAGGAGAGGCACCAGAAGTGACCCACAGCTTACAGCTTCCTGTTCTCTGCTAGGCTAGGCTGGGGCCACCTTACCTGGAAGATGCCTGTAAGGACAGTGATGGTGGCGACCAGCTCCACCCTGGCAGCGTCCCGCAATGCCTCATTGACCGTGGCATTGCTGCCATTGACAGACTCCACAAAGTTCTCACTAGGCAGCAGGGACTCTGTCAAGCTCCCAATCATGACGGAGATGACGGCGAAAGGACCTGGGGACACGCAGAGTGTGGGCAGGGAGCCCAAGGTGAGCACCAGAACCTCTTTGAGGGCACCTCTTAAGGGGTCAGTTCCTTTCTCCCTTGGGTGAAGCTCAAAGCCCACCCACTGTGCTTTGGCTCCGGTTTGGCCAATCACCTTCTGGGGGGGGCAAAGGCAAGAAAGGTCCCCCCTCAACCATTCATGGGGCAATGCTGTGCCATGGATGAAGGCTTGTCCCTCTCATCCTCGCTCCCTCCCCACCGTTGCTGTGCAAGCACGTGGTCCCCCAGCTCACCCACGGAGTTGTGCCTTGATGTCCCGAAGAAGAAGTAGAGGAAGACAGGGTAAAAGGAAGAGTAGAGACCAGTGACGGGTGGCAACCCAGCCAGCAGCGCGTAGGCAAGACCTGGATGGTGGAGCAGAGAGAAATGTCATGAAGGGCCAACCCCTGCCCCCCCCTCAACCCTCAGGGAGCCCCTGGAAGCCTAGGCATAGGATTACTCACCCTGGGGCAGGTGCATGATGCCCACACTGAAGCCTGAAATGATGTCCCCCAGGAGCCAGTCCTTGACTGGGTAGCGGGGCAGCCAGTACAGGAAGGGCAGGAAACGGAACAGCAGGGACTTGGCAGTGGAGCCCGTGCATCTGGGGGGAAAGGAGTAGGAGCTGAGGCTGAGCACAAGTGCAGGGGCTTGGGGACATCAGTAGGGGTAGACAGGGCCCCATAAGAAGCAATGGATCCCATGGGACACCCAGCTCCACCCATTAGAGCCTAGTGTCCCTCCAGTCAGGAGAGCAAAGTAGGGACATGGGTGCTTGGGCTTAGGGGAAATGATCCCCAGGTCTGCAGCTCCCCATGGTGGTGGGGCTGGGGTGTACAGTGCCTGGTGAGGTCCAGGCACATGCCCCTGGCCATATGGTCCTACCTGATCTTGCGAAGACCAATCGAGCCCTTTGCGGGAGGCTTCCTCTGTGCCACCTCCTCCAGTTCAGCCTCACTCAGCACCTCACGGGGTGCTCGGTGGCTCAGTGCCATCTCTGCCGCCATGCCCACCTGACCTTCCTGCATGCCAGTCCACTGCAGGGACATCAGGGACAGCTCAGCTATGTTCCCACAGCTGGAGACACCCAACACCCTACACACCCCCCAGCCCCTCCTCCAGCTCCACTTGCCCCACAGAGCCATCCCATCCCGGCCAGGCAGGCAGGATTGGCCCTGAGAATAAGCATGAGCCGAGTTTTGGGAGTCCTGAAGCAGTGGCAGTGGCTCACAAGGACAGGTGGGCAGGGAGGGAGCCGAGGCTTCAGCAATCAGCGCTGTCTGCTCCTGCCCCGCACCAGCCCCCTCTGCCCCCCTGCAATGCACAGGTGGGGTCTGCCAGCAGAGCTGCCCCGGGGGGGCTCCCCCTCTGCCTGTGCGTGCAGGACCCACCTCGGTGCCAACCCCTCTTCCCCTCTGTGTACCGCAGCAGGGCAGGGCACAGCTGCCGAGCAGAGCCCCGGCCATCCCACAGCCCTGTCTACAGACTTTGTCCCTTTACGCATGAGGGGAGCAGGAATGTGAACCCCCCAGCAAAAGTCACGGCTTTCCATCCCTCCGACAGTGCCCTCCCCTGACCACTGCACCGCAGAGCTGGGGTGAGCCTGTGGTCAGAGGAGGGAGGCTGGGCTGAGGTTTCACCCTTCGCAGGGCTGGGATGGTGGGACCGAGGCGTCTCCCTCTAGATCCACAGCCTGGTCTTGCTCAGGGCTCAGGCTGAGAGCTGCACCATCCTGCTGGGCTCACCCAGCTGGTGGCCTGCCTGGTCCTGAGGTGCAGCTGGACCCATGATCCCCTCACAGGGTGCCTGGGGTTGTGCCAGCCCGAGTCCCTGTGTTGACCCCTGTTATCACTCCTACCTGCTGTGCCCAAGTTGGTCAGGAGCTGGCAGGCAGGTGCACACTCTGCTCTGCTTCCTCCTATTTATTAAAGCCAGCCTGTGATCTTTGAGACACCGCTCCCTGCCTCCTGTCCTTCCTCCTGCCCTGCCGAGAAGCTGCCTGCTTCCCAGCCCCACTGCTGCACCCACAGCACCCATCTCGCTCCCCTCCACGCCCTGGTGTGCTGAGTTCCTCAGCTGTGGCAGGCCCAGAGCTGTCACCACTCTCCCCAGAACCATCCCGTAGTGGGGACTGTCCATTCCAGTCTCATTTCCTGGTCTGCAGCCATACCCAGGTGCTACCATGCCCAACTACCCATGGAAGGGGCTGGGCAGTGGTCTTGCTGCTGGTGCCAGCCTCCTGCCAAGAACTGGTGCTGGGCACTCACTACCCCAAGGCACTGCTCAAGGTCCTGCCATCACCCTCCTGTGCCCCCACAGCTCCCATGGGTGTCCCTTCCCCACCCCCTGTCCTAGAGCAGGAGCTGTGCCGAGGACGAGGAGGGCTATCCACAGCCTCAGGTCATGGCATCCAGAGTATTTTCCGCAGCCCCTCACTTACCTTGCTTGGAAGAGGTGTGCTGTGCCCTGTGGACTGCCCCACTCTCCAACAATTTAAACAGACCCAGCCGTTATCTTGTTCCAAAGGTCCCCAGCGGGCACCAGAGTCCCACTGAACCCATCACTCCTTCCTGGGCTCCATCATGACCTAGAATTGGTTTCAGAGAATGTCTGAGTCATGCTTGGCCCGGTCCCATAGCGGCACGACTGTGGAAATCCAGGAACCCATAGCTGACTGGTACTAGGGTGTGGGGTGAAGGCGGTGGGCAGGGCCATGCATCAGAGAGTCCTGGGTTCCCTGGGTGGTGGGATAGGGCTGGTGAGTGGAGTAAGTGGTGACAACCAGGGCCACAATTTCCAGGGTTGGAGCAACTCGTCCCCCTCCCTGGTGTAGGGTAACCCACGGCCACCCTGGCTCTCCCTGTGGTGAGCATGACCCACATCCCACAGCAGCCCTACACCTTTCAGGCAGTGGGGCTGAGCCTGCTCCCTCAGCCTCTCCCACATCCCTGGTCACTGCTGTCCACCCACATGTCCATCAGTCCAGCCGTGACCAGGTAAAGGCACACTGATGCTGACACAAGCACCATGTGACTGTTGCCTCCTCATTGTTTATTCACTCACCCAGCAGGGAATCAGAGGCCATCCCAGGGCTCCTGCTCGGAAGCAAATAGCACGAGGTGTCATTTACTGCCTCCTTATCACCACTCCTCGTCCCCACCCGTGATATTCCTTCCCACATCCCTGCCTCCAGCCTCTGACATGCACCCCAGGCTGGCCACTCTGCCTGTGACTCCCCCTTGCCACCCCAGCCCCCAGCCAGCTCTCCCTGGCCCTCACCCCCCTGCCAGCCTCAAGAAGGGCTGCAGGACAGGACCACAACTCCCAGCACTGCCATTATGACTCCCAAGGGTCACCCTGAGCCGGCCCCCAACTGCTTAGGGGATGGAGCCCGGGAAGGACAGAGGGATGACAATTGATGGTGACCCTTGCTCAGAGTGCTGTGGATCAATGCTGACCTTTGATCTCCTGCTCTTTCCTCAACAGGAAGGGAGGGACGGAGGGCATCGGGATCACGCTCGGCCTCTGCTCCACACACTTCCTTCTCCTTGCTGGAAGCCGGCTTGACACCGTTGAGGTCAGGCAGCCTTTGGACAGTGGATCTTCTTCCCTTGTTCTAGATCTGACTGGGTGTGCCAGCTGCTGCCAGGCACCCGCCCCACGGCTAAACACAGCCACCACAGCCCTGCTGGCAGTGCTGGGGCCACTGGCCACCACTGCAGCCAATCCCAGCTCTGGCTGAACCGGCCTGGACACAACCCAGTTCAAGCAACTGATAGCACCTGAAATCCCTGTCTCCTGGTCACCTCATCCTGTCCCCAGTGACCCCCCTTCAGCCTATGAGCTGGCTGGGAGCTCCTGCCCAACCCTCCTCCCACCATCACCTCAAGCCCTGGTGCTGCACCCACAGCCCCATCCACAGATCCACTGCACAGGGAGAGAGGGCAGAGAGGCCAGCACCATTTTATAGACTTTTATTTCCAAATCTGGCGCTTCCATGATACACTTTTACACAGCTGGAGAGGGGGCACGGGCATCTCCCCACTCCCTGCCAACAGAATCGGGAGACAAAGAGGGGAAAAAAAACCCAACCAAACCCCACAAAGGAAAAAACCCAAACCCAAGGAGGATGCTCCCCAGAGCCCAGGTCACAGCACTACAATCAGAGACCAAGCCAAAGACTGGTCTGCAAGTAGACTCCTGCTTCTTGACCGGCCCAGGTCTGCAGGGACAGCCACCGGATCCGCTGCTCTCTTCTTTTTGGCACTTGTCACTTGCTCTCCATTTGGCACCAGCATTAAGAGCCCCACACCCAACTTAGCAGAAAACCGGGCCCTACAGCACCATAGGGAGGGAATCCCAAGACTCTGGTGCTGGCACTGCACAGCTGGAGAGAAACATGTAAACGAGCTTGTTCCGAAGGCAAAGATGGGCAGCATGGAGGGGCCTGGCTGTTCCCAGTATGTGGGGCCAGCAGGCTTTCCCTCTGCACACTGGACCCTAATGGCATGTAAACATGTCAGCAGGCCCTGCTGTCCTCATCCCTGGGAAAACAGTGAGCCTGCCTCATCACGGCTGTGCTGGGGGACCCACGGCACCCCAGTCACCAGCTCTTCTGTTCCCTTCACACTCTTCCCACTGACTCTGGGATGTAGCCAAGAGGCCTTGGCCTCCCCAGGGGCCTGGAGGACAGCAGCACAAATCCTCTTCTGTAAACATGTTGGGCTGGGCTACAGTAAGATGCTATGGCAGTGTGGCAGTAAGGCAGTAAGGGGCACACGGTCACACAGCCCCAGGAGCACCACAGGGCAGCCGAGCAGAAGCACCACACTTGGCCGGTGAGACGGAGCATGCCAGCCCCCCAAGCCAAATGCCCTGGCCCGAGGCTGGGGTAGGCACAGAGGGGTGTTACTTCACAGCAGGGCCAGTAGGAGCCCCAGGCCAGGCCCCAGGCTGAGCAGAGACACCATCAGGGCAACCTGAATTTCCAGAGAGGGCAAAGTGCTGTTTATCTCCATTTCCTAAAATCCAGGCCACTCTGAGCTGGGGTCCTCTGCTAGTCAGAGGATAGCAGATATATGCAGAGCTCCCAGGGATCCAGCTAATATAACTTTTGTGGGCAATGCTGGACCCCAAGACTGGGGTCCTCCACAGAGGGAGCACTGGCTCTGGGAACAGCCTAGCCTGCTGCTGAGCAGGACGAGCGTCATCCAGCTCCTTGCCTGGACTCACAAACTAACAGAGATTTTCTCTGAAACATCCAGGTGAAAGAGCACAACACCCAGTGGGTAAAAACACAGTGCTCCCCTGCTGAACAGAGGAAACCAGCATTGACGAGACTGGGACCACCCTGGTACAGGACAGGGCAGCACAGCAAAGCTTGTCTCCTCCCCAGCAGGTCCCTACTCCTGAATTTGCTGCCCTATTAGTTTGTGCTCTCACTGGCACACAGCCCCTCACCGAGGTGGGGCAGCCCCAAGGGGGAGGGTCCCACGGGAGGGCAGAGGGAGGCCTGGCTGCACAGGGCTGAGGGTCACCAGGCAGGAGGGTGGCAAGACACATGTGGAGCTGCACAGTATGGGGGGGTGGGCAGCAGGGCCAGCTGTCCTGCAATGGGGCTTGGACAAAGTAGTGCCAACAAAGACTTAAGGATCACCTGGCACTGTCTCTCCAGTCCACAGGGACTGCGGTCCTCATAGCCCCAGGGAAGCTGGCAAAGGGCTGTTGGTGAAACAAATGCTCCAGGTCCTGGGAACAGACCATCCGTAAAAATAACCATAGAAATTTCTTTTCTCTCTGATTACAAAGATACAAAAAGGTAGAAAACCCTCCCCTGCTCCCACGTCCTGGGCTCCATCTCTGTCCCTCTGCCACTGCCCACCCTCCGCACACACACACGTACACCCAACGCACAAACAGCTCGCAGAGAAAGAGCTCAGCCCCGGTGGGTTGGAGTTGCTACCCTTGCCCAGTACTACCTGTCACACTGGGCAGGTGACGGGGAGCACAGCAGCAGTTGAGAGCCTGGAGGTTCCTGGCAGTGGGTGGTGTGGGCTGCTGGCCCCTCAGCCCACAGGGCAGGGGAAGGCAGGGTTGGTTTTGGGCCTCTGACCACCATCAGTTCTGGCCCCTGCCCCCTGGGGACACCAAACATTGGCTGGCAGTGCCTGGCGAAGGGCTCTGCTTCTTCCATCTCTCTTCTGGACAACTTCGGCCCCTCAGGAATGGCCCTCACTTCTCATTATTCTTCTCGGAGGAAAGAAAAACAGCGTTAAGACATGGCATCTCTCCTGGGCTCCAGCATCCTTCCCCTGCTAGGCCAGATGGGGACAGGGCAGAAACCCACTCCCATGTCAGGGAAGGAGTCATTGTATCCAAGTCCCTGAGTCCAGGGAAGAGGAAAGCAGGGATGAGGTGGAGTGGGGTGTGGTAGCAGCAGTACCAGCAGGGAGCAGAACTGGAGGGGAAGAAATGACAGACTGGGACAGGGTCCCTGGGGAGAAACATGGCTGAGGCAGGC